CCCTCCTGCCTGACTCTTCTTTTCCCTCTTGCCTTTGCAGTGAGAAACGCGCCCTGCAAGTCAGCGTCACCAACCCGGTCCAGTGCAGCCTGCACGGGCGGAAATGCACCGTCTCCGTGGAAACCAAGATTAACCAGTCCCAACCGGATTTCACCAAGCATCGTTCCGGTTTCATCCTCTGCGTGCCGGGGAATTAGCATCCCCCTCCGCTTGGCGCAGCGAGCCAGGAGAGAGCGAGAGAGCGGAGGAAAGACGGACTGGGTCTTTGATCGCCCTCCCCGTGCCTTGGACTTTTCGAGGGGATTAATTTAGAGATGCTCAGCTGTGACTTGGTCATGCGCCTAAAAAGATCTCTAAAGCTAGAGGTTTAGCAAACCCAAATTCAGGAGAGGGTTTTACTACCACATGCAACGAAGGCTTAAAATAGCCAGTGACCTGTATCCATCTTACAAAAACAGGCCAGAGTATCAGGAAAGTGCTTCTGAATTAGTCCAAAAAAAGCATTTATAGGTACTTACACCCTTTCCTCCCTTTCCCACATTGATTGCTTAAACCCTCTGCACTATTCCCTTCTTTTTTGTGTGTCATTTTTGCAATATTATGCAGCCTCCGCCGGAGGAACCAAAGATACCCGGCTCAGGGAGCCTGGTCCTGTAAGACCAAATCCCGATGGAACCGGAGCCAGGTTTGGAAAGGAGGGCTGGCTTCCCACGCCGGGGAGACACTCCACACTCTTCCAGCCCTGCCGGCACGCACGGAGTTGGGATGGTACATGGACACGCACCTCTAGACTTGCTGCTTTACTGCCTGGAGTTCATTAACCCATCAAGGCACCTTGGTTGGAGAGAGGTCCACCAGCAGAAAGGAGAGTGGGATTCACAGCGCAGAGGTTTTATTTTTTTAATCCTGCATTGCTTTTGCCTTAATTACCCTCTCTGGTTACCTAAAAATCCAGTGGGTGCCCATTTGGACCAAGTGGCCTTGCTCAATTTTTTAGATAATCCACGTGGCTTCATGTTAGTCCTAGCGATGAGGTTCAGGGAGGGCTAAAAGGACCCGCTGCCGGTGGGTTGTTCTAGAAACACGTGGAGCTTGGGGGCTGAGGCCGCGGCTCCCTCGCTTTGCACTATTTAACACTAACTCCAGGCTCGTCCGTCCGCGCCAGGTGAGGGGCAGCAGCACAAACCCGACCGCAATGTCCAGGCTGTTCCCTTCAGAGAGTTTTCCTGGGTCTTCCCGGCTGCGGGTGTTGGATGTTGGGGCGTTGTGCATCACCTTGCCTTGTCTGGTGGCATCACGTTTCCCCAATGTGCGGCGCCCGCATCTGCCCAGCTCAGATAACCTTGAGCTTGGTGTTTACGGGAGGGCCATATACACTAACAAGCTTTTTATTTCCACTGTGTATCAGGCTGCTGCTGCTGTGGTTTTTGAGCGGAGGAGGCCACGTGACGTTGTGGGGCTGTTGGGTTTACACGTACTGAGTCCTGGCACTGCTGGTCAGGTCAGGATTTCCAGCCCGTTAGATGCGGGGTGGGGGAGGTGGGGGGGGTGTCTGCGTGGTGACCCCACCTTGGGGACCGTCTGTCTCAAGCCCAGCCGGCGAACAGGGAGCACGTGTTTAATTGAGCATTTTAGGAATCGGAAAGCCTGGAAGAGGCTCTTCACCTAATGACCTGTTAATGAAAGGCTTCCCAAAGCCCTGCCATGGACGCGGGGAGTAGGGACAGGTCACTGCAGCGTTTGTACCCCACCACCGCCACCCAGACTCGAGGTTAAGGGGTACCTCGAGTGTAGAGAAGCTCTAGCTCTGCACATAAGTGGGACAAGCTTAATCCCTCCTGTGTGCTTTGCCAGGGAGGCCCCATGCCGGAGCCCTCCCTTTCATGTGGTCCCCAGCCTCGGACCAGCCCCCGCCAGCATCCCAGCGCCGCATCCCGGCCGCCGGCGCTTGCTCCCGGTAAGCAGCTCTGGGATGCACAAGCAGGCTCCTGCGCCGGAGGGCTCTGCGCATCGGGTCTGCCCCGAGTCCTCGGGAAGAAGCTCTTCCAGATGCTGGCAAACACAAGTCACCCACCACCGCTGGGGCCATCAGGAGCCCGGAGGCGACGTCCCACCCACGCGACAGCTCCTGACCTTGCCAAGCACACGCACACGGGCGGCTTGGGGCCACCGAGGACCCTCCACCGCCTCGTTTAACCCCAGCACCTGCTCCTCAGGAGGAGCAATGCCAACGCTGAAGCCATGGCACACCCCAGCTCCTGTTTGTGTCCTCCCGGGGAAGCACCAGAAGGAAAAGCCTTGTCGTTGCTGTGCCTTTCTATTTGCACTTCTCGCTTTTTGTATCTACTAGTCCGAACGTCCCCCGCCCCCCGTAACACTAACCCATAGGCAAGGTAGAGGCAGGAGATTTAATCAGCACTTTTATACACTATCCCTCCAACGAAATGGTTGTATCGAATCATGATGGACGGCAATAAATTGCAGGTTTAGGAAATTTCTAATACTACAAGATGGCAATATTGTATGTGATGAAATGTGTCTTTATAAAATATATTATCTGTTCCTGCTCTGGTTTTATATATATATATAAAAATATATAAAATATATATATTCCTGGTTTTTCCCATAAATTAACTATTTCTAAATTGAATTTTGATTTTCAGCCTGGGGCGATAATGCAATGAACCCTTTTTTTTTTTTTAATTGCTGATATTTTAATGTGTAAAAGAGCAGAAAAAAAGAAAAACAACCTACTATAACGGTCCTGGGGTTTTGTTTACATAATTCACTGTAATAAATTTTAAAAAACCAATTAGTTGCATCCCACTATGGCAGTGCCAGTTTCTGACGGGCGCGGTGGCTGGGGGAAGGTGCTGCTCACGATGCACAGATGGAAAGGGGAGTTTTGGCGTCCCAATAACCCGATTTTTCACCTCTCACGTGCTGGGTGCGGTGCTCCTCCTCGCCCCGCGACGCCCTCCCAGCGCCTCCGCCAGCCCCCAGCGAAGGGGTGACTCCGGCGCCGGCAACGCGATTAAACCCGCGGCTGCGTTAAACTCCTCTTTTGTCAGGGCAAATCCAATTTCCCAGCGCCGCGAAGGGGGCGTCGGAGGCATGGGATTGCAGAAAAGACTCCACCACGAACCGCTGCCGTGTAATGGATGGTCAGTGCATTTTTATTTAATCAGCACAGTACAAAAATAAATAAAAATAAGGGGAGGGGATTAAATTACAGGCACACTGAGCCCCATGACACAGTCGGTCAGGTTATAAACCACACATACTTACAAACACACTATACACATACATACAAAATGAGACAAATATAAATTAATAAGTAACAATACCCACCAATTTGGTCAACAAAGATCTACAGAAGAGATTGCACTAAAAAAACGTACGTACACATGTATCGTTAGCAGGGTCCAATGTACAGCGATGAAGAGCTTCAAGTGAAAAATAAAAATAAATGGCACGTTATTTCTCCCTCTCGTTTGCAAGTTTAACGCCCGATGGACCAGAACTAAACTAGAACTGTGCACACGGAGAAAAGAAAAAATACAAACCAAAAAAAACTTATCAGTCCCCAGGCCTGATAAGGGAACACCAGCTCAGACTGCGGTATCGGGGTGGTGTCGGGTCTTTGTGCATGGGTGTAATTTTTACAGCCATCTCTCGTTAAGGTTTTTCTTTTGATTATTTTTTTATGTGTTTTTTTTCCTTTTTTTTTTTTTGAAGACACAGACTGCTCCTGTTTGCATGCGCAATACCACTGTAAAAGCAACAATGAAAGAATAAAGAAGGGTTTTTCTTTCCCCCCCCGTAGGTTAGTAGGTTTTTTTTGTTGTTGTTGTTGTTCTAAAAGTATTCATATAGCAGCATGTAGATTCTTTCCTTGCTTGCACACTCAAGTAGATCCTTTACACAATACTCATGATCAGTGCACGATGGGAACAAGACATTTCACATTGATGTCATGATACAGTAGCGGTTATTTCCCTTCACCCAGACCCGCTCGGGAAATTCTAGTCTCTTCAAAGAAAATAAATAAAGGGGAGGGAGGAGGCGGGGGGCGAGGGCCGGGGGTCCCGGGCCGTGCCCGCGTCTGTCCCGTTACCGGCTGCTCCGGCGCCGGTAAGTCACGATCGGCCCCGTTCAGCCGCCTCCGGTGAAGCCTTCAGAGCAATTTTTCCTTTTTTGTCTTTTTTTTT